TTTAAAAAGATGTTACAAAATGAATGCATAGTTTGATTGAGATAATTCGTTTACTCAAGTTTGAAGAACCTACAGTATATGAGATACGACATGCATAATAAAAACCAAACTTTATTTATTCAATTTCAAGGGTCATGTAGAATGTTTACACATGCAGTATATTTACAATAAATTAATAGCATTAATTTAAATAAGATTTTTTTATTTGTACGTCTTAAAGTTACTGGTGTAGAAGCAATGCAAACAAATAAACGCAAACAAAACTTTAATATGCCAGCCAATCAAGGTTATTGCACAATTCGAATTTTTGTATTGTAAAATGGCAGAAAGATAATTCAAATACAGACTCACTCAAAATCAGGATGTGTGCTCATTAAACAATTATTAATACCGTAATTGCAATATAATGGGATATTTTATTAATAATTCAGAATACATGATAAAATTCAGAACATCGGAGAGACACGGAGTGCCATCGGAAAAGGTACTTTCATAATGCTGTGACGTGATAAGTGAGTCTGGAACGGGGGACGTTCAATTGAAACAGATCTTGGAGAGATTGGAGTCACAGATCTTAGTGGTAAAGACCCCGGAACTTTCATTTCCGATGGGGTATTGCATCTCGATCTCGGCAATGTTGGAGTAGAACTTGGTGACAGTGAATTATGGGTCATTTGTCTAGGTGGCGGTTGTGGAGGTTGTAATCTTGCCTGTTTCTGCATTTCTTGTTTCACTTTTTTGGACAACTCTTCGGTATCTAATATTTTGGGCATCAATAGAACATTGACCTTTGGTTCTTCAAGGGCCGGTGAATATCCTTTATTGGTTTTTTCTGTCGTTATCTCGCGATCTCTTATTTTTCTGGGCAATCGACGTGTTGGTAATTTTGACTGGGGTAAATTGGTTGATCTTGGGTCGGCGAATGACATGGATAAACTCTGTTCCAATAATCTTTGCCTAAACATCTGAGAAGTTCGTTTAGCACCTGGTGGTGAAATTGAAGACCTTTTTCGCTTGGAATTGACACGCGTTAATTGTCGGTTGGCACTTTTTGGTACATCTTGTACAGATTTGATGCTTGTCGTTAAATTGTTCGATCCCAAGGCAGCCAGTGACATGGATAAACTTTGCTCTAGTAATTGTTGTCTAAAGATTTGGGATGGTCTTTTGACACTTGATGATGACTCTTTCCCTGAATTGGCACGTGACGATGATTTCAGGGAATGCAGATCCTGGTTATTGTTGTGGACATTTAACTTCGGACCGGTTGATGACTTGGGTACGCTTTGATTGACACTTGGTGATAACATTGTTCTTTTTCGCTTGGAATTTGCGCGAGATAACTTCCGGCGGGGTGAAACACGATTATTTAAGGTTACAGAGTTAATAATACTTTTTGGTTCATCTTGTTCGAATCTAACGGATACGCCATGCTCGAATGGAGCACGCTTGTCAAATAACGACCTTTCTCGCTTGCCATCAAGTACTAGTTCAGTATTATTTGCGATTTCCTCTGTAAATTTAATCTTTCTAAACTGCTCTAAAGGTACGAGAGTGGCGTGAATCAACTTTGGAGGTGTGACAGGTCGGACGGTCGAAAACGCATCTTCGTCCTCCATGTCAGTAGGATCATTAGAATTTCCGGGGTTTGAGGTTGGAGCATTTACCATAATTTTCGGAGCGTTAAACCTGTCACTTGTGTCAAGTGAACCAACTTTCTGCATCAAATCCGATTTATTGTCATTCCTTATTTGTGATGACAAAAGTCGCGGCCACCTTTGCACAGGGTGGTCCTTTCTTTGCATAATGACACTTACGGGCCGAGGAATTCTGCTACAATCATTAGAATTGATCTCAACCTTTTGCATAACTGTGACAGTTATACCGCCAAAAGGTTGTGCAAATTTTTCCGTTCTCCTTTCATTTGACAATTTTTGAGGAGTAAGGTGTATCTGGGGAAGAGGTACATGGGCGTTAGGTGCGGGATTCTTGGGTATGTTCATATCTGGAGCACCTTTTTTATCATCCATTCCACGTTCGCCATAATCTTTCCAATTTAGATCGTAAGTGCAATATCTTCGAGCTGCAAGCGAATCAATCTGTTTTGCCTCATTTTTTTCAATAGATGATTTATTAACAGGTGATGGCTCCGGTACAACCGATGCTCTAGAATGGCGAAGTGCTTGTCGCGGTCTTTATGCGAGTTAGACAGGTGTTTACGATCACAACAGAACATAACGAACATGAACTAATACTGTACTTACAATGTGAGCATCTTATACTCGCGTAGTTGATGTAATTGTTTAATAATATTTTTGAAAGAGTGAAAGACAGCAGTTGGAATTCTTGACGTCTCGTTACTTCCTAATAGAGAAAATACTGGTTAGAATCTTTAATGTTTTCAAAATTTGCATGCGTAATTTTTAACTCACGGTTCCAGCCAGTTGATAAAACGCCAAAGTGAGTAGGGGTCAACGGGTTTTATGTGATCATGAAGAAAAGGAGGTATTCATCCTTTACAATATCGGAATTATCGGGTTACTCCACTCAGTGAGTAGAATCCACAACCCGTTATGATGAGAAGGTGAGGACATGAATATAAGCATAAAAGAGGAATTTAAATAAAATTTCTGTTATGGTAAGACAAGTTGAGGCCATATACCACAAATTATTTGCTCATGGTTAACGTGACGCGATTGGAAAAACCAATCATCATGTTTTTTTACCAAGCATAAATATAAAACAATAGCATACAATGCATATATACTAATTCATATAATCATGCACTATCGAAGGTAAGCGCAGGCTGTGTAGAGGGCTAATTAATTAACTGCATTATTTTCACGGTGTGCCCTTAAAACATTGCGGGGAAAAAAAAAAATGTTATTTTTCTGATCGGAACACAAAAAACCGAATTTTCGTAGGGTGCATTAATTGTCCTTAAAGTGATTGGTATCTGGAAACATCAAACAAATTCATGATTCTGGTTTTGGTTTTTGCCTTATTTAGGTAAAAAAATAAATTCGTGTGCACTTTTATTACATGCACACTCACCCACCATCGAGGTCAACCGAATTCCCAAAAAGGACAAGTGAGAAGTAGAAAAGGTTGTTTCATTAACACTCACATGTTTGTCACGGTCGCCGAAAAGGTACTGGTCGCCACCTTCGAAATATCAGACACTTGAATGTTAACCTTTGAAAATTTTCGGTGTAATCTAAATCCCTTTTGTGAATTCCGTTAGAAAACCCATCCATTTCATAAATTGCATCATGAAGTTTCGTGGAAAAGTAAAAGTTTTTCAAAAAACGATTTTGTAAATGATCTTATTTAAAACCATATCAGGTTAAACATGATAGATGCAAAAAGGGCATAAATAATTTCAAAATTAATGAATAATGATGGTCAAATACGGCGATACGATCTCGATACCATTCCACATGTTTTTTGCATTTCCTTTTTTACAAGCCAGTCGTGAGACCTTCGATCACCCGTTTTGTCAAAATTGCTACTCATTTTAAAGACAATTCATTGATGTACTTTATTCATGGTTTGTTACATCGAATAAATTTTTTTTCCTAACTGTCAATGATGCATGCAAAAGAAAAAAACAACTAATATTAATATTAATTGACAAGATAAATTTAAATTAATTCCATACATGAATTACGCCACAAGCTAATTGGTCATCCTTTCAAACCCCAAAAAATTACATCACGTTGAAAAGAAGCGTTTTTATTCACATTATTCACAGCATATCTCAAATTAATCATTAAAGTGTGTTGTTTCTAATTTGATTATAAATTAAAAAGCAATAAGAGTGATATCATTGGCAATATAATTATCGATATGGTTATTTTTTTTTAAAAAAAAAAAAAGACCCAAAAATCTTATCAACATCCTTCAAAGATAACCGGCCATGTTGCTAATTACCGTGCTGTATATCGTTAGCGTTATCATCGATGGTTTGATTTATTTTGTTATTTATGTTATATGCTGTATGTGTAAATATATCGTGTAATTTTAACTAATTTAACAAAATAAGGCACACATACTGTAAATGTACGGCATATATTTAGAAGCATAAAAAAACAATGTTATATAACCCATTTTTTTAAATGTATTAAAATAATATTACCTAATTATCTTTTTAAAAAAATCACATTAATCACAAAAAAAAAAAATAATAGCAATTGATTATTAAAATTGTTTTAAACAATTTATCAATATATTTTTTAAAAAATATATATAATAAAATATTTTTCCAATAAGCAAACAATTGTTTTATAATGATTTTTAAATTTTTATAGATATTTTTATTTTTTACCATAATTTTTTTTATATTATAATTCCATTTTTTTTCAATAATAAATAGCCGTGGGAACAAAAAGACATAAAAACCAAAATGATGATAATGATTATATTTGTTAAAAGAATCAAAAAATGATTCAAGATTAAGCGAATTTTTAAAAGCTATTATTGATATGGCATACGAAATAAAAAGTATGAAATAGAAAATGTTTAATCGTACAATAATAAAAAGTATGAAATAGAAAATGTTTAATCGTAAATCGTACAATAATTTATAGTTATAATTAAACATTTTTGATAACCGTAGAGTTTTCTGTAATATTTGACGCAAAAGCATTAAATCAAATTAATCCGTGATACAACTTAAAGAAATAATTTTGGTATTACCTAAAAGATTAGAATAATCCAAGTCAATTAAACCTGAGTCTGTACATAAGGTTTTAAAATAAAGTTTGTTAATAAATATTTGGAAATGCAATGAACACTATACCATACTATACCATTTACAGTATATTCACCTGTATAGTCATCCGACAACATTTCAAGTACGTTCTCATAATCAGCGGCATTAGTTGGTTGTGTTAAGTTGGAAAAATTCAAAAGTCTGCTAGTATAAAAAGCATTTGGGTGCGTTTTATAATTAAGTCCCGAGAGTTTACTAGTTAGTGATTCTTTCGAAACTTCACTTTCGTAATCTTTAACTTGTTCCTCAGAATCCAAAGGTTCATCACTTTCGATCAATTTAATCCATTTGTATAAAGTGTTGTATATTTCTATAGCTTTGGGTCGACAAGACGGCCTCGCATCCCAACATTGCATTATTAACCTAACTAAAAATTTTTTCGTCTTGAATGGAATTTTTGGACGTAAACCTTGACAGATTTGTACAGCAAGATCTTGATCATGAGGAACATTATAGAATGGAGGAAATCCTGTGATCATTTCATATGCTACCATTCCAAATGAATAAATATCTGCTGTCGGTGTGTAAGGATGGCCACACAAAACTTCGGGTGCAATGTATGGAAGAACTCCATAGATTTCCTTATGGGTCGAGTTTTCATTGAATAATTTACAAAGACCCAAATCCGAAATGCGCATATATAGACTATGATTATATAAAAGATTTCCTGGATGAAAGTCCCGATGAACTAAATTCTTTCCATGCATTTCACCTAAACCCAATGAAATATCCCTTAATGAATTTAATTTTAATTTCAAATCCATCTTGTAAAAATTTTGGTCCAAGTAACTCCTGAGACTGCCGTTATCTTGAAAATTAAAAATCATCATATAACATGATGACTCAGGTTGTCGCGTAATCCCATAACACCAAACAAAATATCCCGTGCACAGAATAGAATGTTTCTCGATCTAAGATTTAAAAATAATTTGCATTAATAATAAAACTATAGTTAAATGAAGATTAATATTCTTTACCTCGTCTATAAGATCGCCAACTGAGCTAAGCTTATCTAAGCTTTTTAATGCTACCTTCTTATCAGGGTGATCTCTAACCCATTTCTTATTTAGAACATCCCATTTTTTAATACGACCTTCTTTCCATGTCGCAGAATAAACAGTGCCATATCCTCCTTTAGCGATAAATTCGACGTCTTGGAATTGTGTATACGGTATCCATTCTAATACGTCATAACTCCTTTTAGCTTGAAGCTGAGACTTTTGTATAAATTCGTCAATTTTTTTATCTCCACTTGTCCATTTATTAAAATTATTTCGAAAGTGAATTCCATTACATGACGTGCACCATTCGAGCAGGTAAGGTTCTTGATTACATTCGGGACAAGGCATATTTTTTGAACTTGAATTTTCCTACTAAAAGTTATATATATGCATTGCATAACGTTACACGGTTTTTTTATTAACGAATTATCTCATGTATGTATGTTATTGAACGAAATTGGTGAAATTTTTACTGTATAACAATATTTTAAACCATTTTTAAAACTTTAAATTTTATTATAAAATCTAAATACATATTGTATAGTACAGTATAAAAAATCAACCTTTTTTTAAGCTTATATAATGTGTACTAAAGATATGTTTTTTATAATTTAATTATAAAAAAATATTAATATATACATGTATGCTATATGTATATTTACAATATAGTACAAAAAAAAACAATTTTTTTTTGTTAATTAATCAATTGTTGTTTATTAAATTATAATAAAAATATTGATTCAATTATTTTCAATACTTATTTTATTTAGTTCTTGTATATAATATGTATTAAAAATTTTTTTTAATTTTATATCTAATAGCTATATATAAATTGATAGTAAAATAATTAAATAATATCAATAAATCTATATTATAAAACTTGATAATAATAATATAATAATTCAAATAATATATTTTTAAAATTTCTGAAAATGAAAATATTCAAAAATAAATATTTTTATGATATTTTTAAATTGTGTAATATAAATCAAATAATATTTGATATTTGAAATTCAAATTAAATATAAAATTATTATTGATATTTGATAGTATATCAATAAAATCTTTTTTTTTTTTTTTTTTTTTTTTTTTGAAAAGAGCAAATGGCTATCACGCTTTATTATATTTATTATACTTTCACTTACAAA